GCATGCACTCCCCCCTCCCCCCGGGCTACTGTAAATGAATAAATAAGCACAGCACGACCTTGGACACCATGGGAAATAGGACAGATGGAGCAGTCTCTGTCATCATACAATTTACCACTGACCCAGAGGAGCAGCACAGAGCACGAAAAAGACCCACGAGCCAGGCAAGTGGTTTCAACTGGTGCTGCTGGAGGCAGGAAAGAGGCTTAGTTCTGTAAAGACAGGTACTTTCTGGGACTGTGTGAATGTGCTAAACTGTGATTGGAGGGAAGCCCGGAGCAGTTCTTAGTGGGATCTTGGAAGAGTAAGTGGGAGGAAGGGCCTGAAGATGGGCTTTGTCTTTTGTCACATCTTTGCTAGGACCTGGGCCATATTAGGGGCTACACTTCTTTCACATTCCCATCTACGGAAGGGGGAAGTCAGCAAAGGGTATGGTTTTATAAATAAAACAAATACATATACACCATGGACTAGATCTGCTCCTCAATTTTGCTGACCTTACAACTTCTTCATTAACAAGGATGTTCATGCCAAAACTTGCAAGAAATTCTTGCAAATACAGGCGTTTGCTCAATACTTGACCGAACACGCAGGAAGCGCTGTGCACTGACTCACCCTCTCATTAATAGGAAGCCTGATGCAAGCTCAAATATTTATTCCAGGGAAATGCTCCTAGATGGAGGTGGCATGGTGCCAGGAGCTGGTTTTTTTCTTCTCATGGACAGCCTGCGTAGTTCCAGGCACTGCCCTCAATTGCACACTAAGTGGGGACAGCTGGGAGCAGAAGCTGGCCTCTCAGTCAAGGCCAAGGGCTGGGATTCAAAATTGCGGACCATTTCAGCATTATCTGAGCCCAGCTTTCAGGCAGGTTCCCGTTTCCCTGCCTGCAGCACTTTTGATAAAGCAAACCAAGACCCAGAGCCTGGTTAGACAGACTCACTCCACGGCTGGCGCTGCATGTACCAGTTGTGGTCCCTGGAATTTCCCTGAAGAAGCCACAGTAACAGGAATAGCTTCTTCCTTTCCCAGTCTTCCTGGCTTAAAGGGCTGCCATCTGCCAACCAACCACATTTTGTCTTGTAAGTTTATCAACCAGATTCTACAAAAGCAAGTAGGAGTACAGTCCTCACAGGTAGAACTCTGATCAAGTGTGTTGGGGAGAGCATCTCTGAAAAACCCTGGGATTTTCAGAGATGCTCTCCATGACTCCAGTGAGCAGTTAAAGGCAAGGGGCTCTCTCGCCCATGCCGGTGCACTGTCAGACCACGTGGGTTCTGGTCTTGCCTCTGCTGTAACGGGGCGAACTGCATCAAGCCATTTTACAATTTTGGTTGTCAGAGCCTTCTTCTCTGACGTGGACTGCTTCCTGGCCTGGCCACATTATCAGAAGTGTCCTGTGGTCATTCTCCTCATGACCATAGAGACAGAGCTGAGTTTGATACAGATCACAGCCCATGAATGTGTGGCCTTGGACAAGTTAGTTAGCTAATCTCTCTATTCTTTAGACTGTCTGCTTCTCTAGAGGGGGTAACAATATCTACATTAAATTGTGGTCATGAGAATCTGATGATAGTATAAAATTATTTGCATAGTGTTTAGCACATAAGAACTCAAAAAATGGTGGTATTTCTTATTTTTACCTTCCTAAGGAAATGAGGTGGCAGAGGGCATAGCCTCTTGGGTCATGGAATTGAGTTTCAACCCCCCCTTCTCCATTAGAGCTATATGCCCTTGAATAGGATGTTCGAGCTTCAGTTCCTTCACCTATAATATGGGAATAAGAGTATTTCCTTCACAGGGTTGTTATGATTTTTAAATGATATTAAATTAAATGGGATGAAAGAACAGTATTTGGCTCCCAAATCAGTTATCTACAGCTGTTGATTTCTTTCTGTCTTTCCCTACGTTCCACCAATGAGACTAAAATGAAAAACAGGTGAGAGCACTTGGAAAATAACACATAATACAAATCTGACACATGAGGACTTCCCCTTTAAAGTAGATAAGGTTGAGGAACATCAAAAAGACCAAACAAGTGTCAGACTGAGGAAGCAGAGAATCCGGGACTTGATGAATCCAGGCTCTGGGATTCAGTGGCAGTTTTCCATCCCCTCAGACATTCACAGCCCAAGTGGAAAGAGCAGGATCTCTGCAGCTATGGGTTCAAATTTCCCATTCTATCGTCATGAACAGGCAGACTTGGGGCAATTTATCGAACCTGCTTGCATCTCGGTTTCCTCACCTGCAAACTAGGGATAATGAATCCTTCTTCAGAGAGGGGGTTTTTGAAGTGCCTAGCAGAGGAGTTGGTGCACAGAAGATGCTCAATAAATTCTAATAATTTTTCTTCTTTATGGTGTTTATTTATTTGTTATCTAAAGGGGATATGGATATAACATGTTCTCTGAGAGCCTTGATTTCAAGCGTGATTGTTCTATTGTCAGACTGTGTCTGACTACAGTTTCCCACAATCCCTACAGTAAAATATTCGTGGTCTTCAAGGCTCCCTATGATTTAGCCTCATATTGCTTCTTCACTTCATCTTTGGCCATTCTCCACCGTAAGTACTGCCCTTCTTACATTTTAGGGCTTTGCTCTGCCAAGAAGATTCTATCCGTGTTCTTCAATGAATAGTTCCGTTTCATCCTTCAAGTCACCTCTTCAAAAGAACCTGAATTCTTTGTCACCCCCTTTACTCTTAATCTCAGAACTATAGTATGTTATTTTTCATTACAATTTTAATTATACATGTTGATTTGCTTGTTTTTATGTATCCCTCCCTCTAGAATCTACAGTCTTGATGCTAAACTCCACTAGGGTAGAGTCTCTCTGTCTGCTTTACTTTTAATTGAATGGCCAGAGTCCACCATAAGAGGTTTGCAATAAGTACTTGATGAATAAATAAATACTAGCCCCTGCTTCTTAAAAACAAGGTCATTATGGGCCGCGACCTTTATAAACCACTTGAGCTTATTGCAAGCTGCCCTGCACTCTTATTTTGGATAATGAAGCCCATTCCCATTTTATTATGAGAAAACAAGCAGCCACCAAGCAAAATCCATGGGCACAAGCTGCACTAGAAGCTTTAGATGGGCGGGAAAACGAGAAGGTTCTTTTCAGTACCCACAAGGATAAATGCACCTAATTCGCAAAAATAGCCAACTTTTAGGCCATAATTATTTCTGTCTGACTTGAGAAAGATGAGCCCTGCTGCGCTTGTCCCTATTCCTCTGTCCAAGCAAACAAATTAGCAACCACCATAAGTACAGGTTTCACGTATTGGAAGGAACGAAACCACTATCATAACTCCCAGATAAAAGCCCCTAAGAATGCTATCATTCAGCTAAAAGTTTGGAGTCTCAAATTATTATTCTCTTTCCCTTTTTGGGAGACATCTTTTGCTAAAAGTTGGCATCAATTCCATTCTGGGGCGAGGGGAGCTTTATAAACATCCTGGCTCAAGTTGAGCTTGGGTTGAGTTGTTAGGTTGAAATATTTAAGGACGACAGTGATTTATGCAAATAAAAATTATAATTTTTATTATGTAATAAAAATAATCCAAAGTTCTTGGGGAGGAACTAATTCTTGAGTGAGGTAGGCACATGTCCCTGTTCAGAACCCAGCCATCTGGGGGCAGGACTTCTGCAGGAGCCTCATGAGAGAGCTCCTGCCTCTGGCTGTCCTCAGGCTTCCATCTAGCTACACACTGCCATCAGATTCTCTTGAACATCACTGGTTAGACATTCACAGTGTTTCAGTTCTTACACCCTCTAAGTTTAAGTTAAAGCCTCTTCAAGGCTCTTGTCAATCTAATTTCAACCCAATGTCTGGGCTTATGTCCCATTGCTCCTGACTCCTTTACTCAAACTCTCCCACCAGACAGACAGGCATTATTATTGTCCTTGGAAAATGCGTTGCTCTGGGCTGAAGTCATGTCATCTCTTCTCTGGTGCTACCATCTCCCCTTCTTGGTGGTTCAGAGGCTCACGTCTGCACCACTTTCTCATGAAGGCTCCAGTCCAGTATCGCCCACCTCTGAGCTTCCCAAGGATTCATGGTCAGACCCAAATCCCGCTGTGAATCCTGTCTTGCACCATTTGGATGTTGTTTTATATGGTTATTGCAGCTCTTATTGTTTATATTGTCAAGGATGCCACCCTGACCCCAGATATTATTTATAGCAGGGGCCCCTCTCCTGGGGATCCATAATTGTAACCGATACTTTCTTAATTCTTTCAATTTTTTCCACTTTCTGGTTAAGAGAGTTTGAGTGAGTTTCTGTTCCTTGCAAACAAACACATCTGGAAGAAGACGATTGTCATATGTGCATACTTAAGATAGAAATACCCAGCCCGAGGAGATATTATTTTTCACAAATCTGAAACTTACGGTCTCATGTATCAATGTTCTGAAAGTACATCTGACGCATTTATTAAAGAGTGCAGATTCAAAAGATGCAGATTCCAGGCTCCATCCTATACTCACTACAAAAGAAGCCCTTTGGAATGGGGCCTGGGAGTGAGTATTGTAAACAAGATTCTCAGGTGATCCTATAGAATAAAAGCCTAGCAACTGAGTGGTGGAACAACCAGAACGACCGCTTGGCCAGACGCTATGTTGCGCATTGACCACCCGGGAAAGATGCTCAACGCAGGAGCTGCCCCCTGGTGGTCAGTTCACTTGTGGCTGGGAAAATAGGCCCGTAACTGCGCACTGTTAGCCACAGTCTGGGGGCAGCCTGGGTCCCTGACTGCCAGAACAGGGTTTCCCTCCATGTCGAATTTCCCATTGTAGGGTAGAACTGGCCCAGAGAATGAAGAAAGAAAGAGGAGTGGAAGGCAGGAGGCAGAAGTGGGATATGACAGATACGAAGATCGGCAAAGGAATGTTCTCTCAAGCAGGAAAACACCAGCCTCGGAAGGATGGGATTGGGGTATTTACAACAGATCAGGAGAAGAAGGGGCTCGAATGTCCAGTCTCAAAGGAGGCTCTCTACTCACTGAGTTGATGATGCCTTGCAGAGCCTGGAAGCCGTCATTTACAGGAAATACGTGATCCTTACTGTCCGCAATCCGGGCCAGCTGAGAACAAACACAAACACATATGGAGAACGCAGGAAAGCCACTGGGTTTAGGGGACTCCATCTACTTTTAGAACCAGAGGAACTCGAGGCTTTGACTGGGCTCAGGGGCCTCACTGAAAAGCCCTCCGTAATAATGAGTTTACCAGCGGCCTCCCTGGAGCGAGCCCGGGGGGTTGGCGCCAGCTCTTACATTTGTTGTAATACTTCTTTCCTTGGGAGCCGAGGTAAGACTGCCCCGCTAGATGAACATTTGCTCTGGGTTGGTGTATTTATGGATTTGGGGGCAGGCCATTGGCTCATTTTTCTCCCATTCACCCACATTTCTGTTGGCAACTATGCTCGAACCAAACCAACTTGTTTCCTTTCCAAGCAACTTTAAAAATAAATTCAAGCTTTGGTGTTGGGGAAGGCCAGCGAATGGGCCTTCTTCACACAACCTGCTCCGTGAGGTGAGGACCCCGGCCATGGTTTGGCTGCTCCTGCTTTAAGGAGCCGAGGACTAGAGAAAGGAAAAGCTGTGAGCTTTACTAGCCCCACCCCATCTTCGCACATTCCTGCAATGGCCCCGGTCACAGTCGGTGGGTGCCAGGGTGTTTACTGATGGCACAAGCACCGCAGTGTCATTGGGAAGTTTCAGAAAACCCAGGCTAGTTAAAATACATTTATAAAAAGTTACTTATAATCCATGTACTTATCCACTCATCCTTCTCTCCATCACATTTCTATTATTGTTCATTTGACATATATTGTCTTTCATAGGTTTTCTAGGCAATATACGCATATCTATTTAAACGCTGGCCTCCTACTACTCCCGATATTCTGCAATCCTAATTTATTTACTTAACAACATATCATGAGTGCTGTCCCATGTTATTAAAACAAAACAAAAATTACAAACTACACCGAGTAACGTTCATTTGGGTTGTTAGCAAATTTTCTCCATTTGCTTACATATACATTTTTTTTGCCCACTTGCTAATTTCTTCCCTTTTTTTTTTTTGTATTGAAAATACACTGCATATTTAATGGAAGAAAGGGATGTTTGCCATTAAAAAAAAAAGATTCATCACATTAAATAAAAACAGCAATAAGCTGAAACCGGTTTGGCTCAGTGGTAGAACATCGGTCTGCGGACTGAAGGGTCCCGGGTTCGATTCGGTCAAGGGCATGTACATTGGTTGCGGGCACATCCCCGGTAGGGGGTGTGCAAGAGGCAGCTGGTCGATGTTTCTCTCTCATCGACGTTTCTAGCTCTCTATCTCTCTCCCTTCCTCTCTGTAAAAAAATCAATAAAATATATTTAAAAACAAAACAAAACAAAAAAACAGCAATAAGTTTCCATCTTTTGACACCTTGGCTGTTTAGCATCTACCAAGAAAGATGCTGTCTGGATGGTCTGTGTTAGAGGCCCCCATATGCATCAGCAAATGGCTTTCCATTCCTTACTCATCCAGCAATTCCCTCTTTGCTTATTAGCATTTCTGGAAAAATACTCCATCTAAGGGCTGTTTATGCAGCTGCTGCACCCTCTGCACTGAATCATTCACAAACTTGGTACCCTCCCAAACTGGAGGAAAAGCAAGAGCATACCTGTGTTTCGTTGAAATCCTTTACCCCGACACAGTAAACAATAGCACCAAGGTCTCTGGATCTGTTAGCCTGGGGCAATGAGAGAAAAGATATTAGAGAGAGAAGAAGAGGCAAACTACTTCTTTTGGACTAGCCAGACTAACTGCAATGATCAGGCATTTACTGAGCACCTACTTACTATATGTCAGATACCACAGTGGACAAGGTAATCCCTGACCTCAAAGAGCTTATACTCCAATGAACATCCCACTCTAACCTAATGCATCATGGGCACGAGGAAGTGATTAGTCTAATGGGAAGTGGTGAGAAAGAGCCACATAAATAAAATCTTTGAAAGACAAGGAGAGAAAAAGAAAACTGTAGGCTAGGGTAAGTCGTATGAAATAATCTGGGGAAATGATTATTTTATTTATTTCTCTGATGAGTTTTTTTTTGGCATAGTTTTTCTTCCTCTGTGATGGCAGCATGGTATAATGGAAAGGATGTGGTCTTTGGAACCTGATCTACGTGGGTTTGACACTTGGCTTTGCTCTAGAAAGTGTGATGGGGATTAAATGAGATAATAAGTGCAGAGCTCCTCACGCAAGGTCTAGGAGGATGCAGATGCTCATAAATGTCAGTCCCCTTTAGAAATAAAACCATTTGCATTGCCATAGAACACATTGCTTTCATGGTATGGTAATTATGGTCCATATTTGAGTAGGTGAACCCGTGACCTTTTTTATTGAGAAGGCAACATAAAAAACAACATCCAGATTTTGGCTTGGTTTTAATATTTGATTTGTGAAAGGCTCTGATAATGGATTTCAAAGTTCTTCTACATTTCAGAACAGAAAACAATAATTGGAAATCCTTGGTAAATAAAGTAGGTGCTTAATAAATAATCGATAGTAAAGATATATTAGGTGCTCAATATGTGCATATTGACTTGAATTGTGTTCTTTTCCCTACTCTGTTAGTATGCAAACCCACTTGTGACTATAAAAAAAAAATGTATTTTTTTCCTCCATGTTAGAAATATTTCTTGAGGCTTTCAGGATAAAACAAACTTTTAGACACAGTCTAGCCCCAATCTTATCTGCAACAACTTCTATGCCTCTTTCCCCCCAGTTAGACTTTATATAGAATTATCAAAAATGGAAAGGTTCATTTGTGTTATAGAGCTTGAGTTTTATCTTACGTTTTCAGAAACCCTTTTTCTATTGGTATTGGCACTCCAACTATTTTTCCAAGTTTGTATGGGCCATACCTCAAATTCTTTTCTACTAACCCCTATTTTAATCATCTGACAACTATCATTTATTTTATATTCAGTTATTTCCTTATTAGGGTTTTTACTTCATGTGACTGTTGTTTGGCACTCAGATAAGACATCCTGCATTCCCATTACATAGTGTCGACTTTAGAGAATAGAAATTATATCTATTCCCACATGCTCAGGGAGTGCCTGTCATATGTACTGTGTGCTTCTCATTGTGAATGATCCCGTTGTGTTTCCCATTGCAGGTGAGTAATGTGTTCACCTACATAATTTGATCATGCCCATTGCCCACAGAGGCTTCAATAAGCTGGACATGATGATTACATGGTAAGGCCCATGAGAGCAGCTACTGTCTTACTTAACACTGAGTGAATGAATGAATGAATGAATGGATGGATGAATACATACTTCTTGCTTGCTAAGGAAGCTGAATTTAAATTATATAATAGTCAAGAGCTTGAGGTAAGTGTAATGTTCTTATTAACTCTTCCCTGGGAGCCAGAACCACCCTCCCTCACTGTCTAATTGTGTTTTTTTCTAACTTGGCCTGATAAGGCTTTGTCACTAAGGAGGCTTTAATACATTCCCATGGTTAACTGGTTTCTTTGGGCCACTTATACATATAGCTCTCACATCTACTACTTGAAAGGACAGGCTTTCTTAAATATAAATGACTACTTTTTAATTTTTGAATAAATTCCCTTTTCTGAATCTCTTTATGCAAACTGAAAGTTTCATTTAAAGATCATTCATGAGGAGTATTTTATGAGAACACAAAGAAAAGGAAAACAAATTATCAAAGGAGAGATTATAATTTACTTTGCCTCCGATTAATATTCAACTTTGGTTCGTAGAGTGAGCCTCTCATGGACTAACCCATTCTGCCAAGATTGGCTCTTACATATGTCGAGTAATTCTTTCCCCTCCTGTTTTTAGTAGAAAATATGTGGGAAATTTCAGGAAAAAAAGTTTTTGCTTAAAAAGGATAATGTTTCAAAACTGCTAAATCAATATAGTGCTTCCAATAAAAGCATGCTAGATATATTTTACCCCTCCCCCCAACACAGAGTAATATTAATAGAAATATTTTAAAGAGGAAAAAATATCTACCATGTATAAAACATGAAGATTCACTTTAAAAAATAAATTATTATTTTTTTAATGTATAAGACACTATTTTATCCAGGAGTGTGGATTTTTTGTGGTGTTTTTATTTATTTTTTATTTATTTAATTTTTTTTTTAATCAAGGGTAACTATCATTTTGCCTAGTAGAAAGAGTGCAGCCCACTTCAGAAGGAAGAGGCCCTTTTCCATGTCTGTTTAGGCAGACACAGGCCGGACCGTCGCTTACCTCCCTCTCTGAATAGTAAAAGAGATCTTCATGGAGTTCTCCATCAGTCAGAGCAATGATGACGCTGGCTGTCCTGTATCCTGTTCAACACAACACAGACCCGCTCAGTCCACCTGCTGCACCAAGGGAAACCTCTCTCAGCCCTGAGAGGCTGGCTCTTCTAAGCTCAACCACCCGAGGTCAATATCGGGAGAATCAGCAACTTCTCTTTCGGGACTGGAAACAATTCCAGCATGAAGAAGAGTGCCAACACTGACTGTAGGGGCAATAGGCTTTGTTTCTGGGTTTCTCAGTCTTATCTTAAACCACTGACTAAACCTGGTGAAATGGTTTCTGGACTGAGATAGGAATAACTCCAACGACTCTTATTTCTGGGAATAAACTACCATCTGGGCTGTTCAGAAGTCCTTCTCACAGGCTGTCGCTGACCACATGCACAGCCCTTGAAGAGCTGGGCAAAGAGTCCTAGTCATCATGATTTACAAGCTGACTGAATCAGTTGGCAAAACCTACTAGAGTTTTTCCAGTAATTGTTAGGCATCTAGTAACATTGCTGATGGTTGAAATATATTAACAAGTGTTTATTTGTTGTAGTTTAGAGTGAAATCAGAAGTGGACATCTCTACAGGCCTAGGAGAAAAATCCCCAATGCAATATGGAATCTTTTAAAAAGATTTGCCCCAGATAAAGAAAGGCTATTCATAATAAGACACTATAATAATTGTAATAATAGCCAAAATAATAATATTAATGACAATAATAAATATTAGTTCTATGTGCTAGGCACTCTCTTAAGTAACATTTTTGCTTTTTGAAAAAAAATTAAGTAAAGGAAATTTCAAACTGAACTGGTATCTTAATCTTAACACCATATGCAATCACAGTAATGAAGAGGGGAAGGGGCTTGGAGCCCAGAGAAGTCATGAAAATTACAGTTGACATGAAAATCCAAGACTTTACTAACCCATTCAAATATTTACTAATTTAATGAATTCAAGATGCAAAACTGCTCCTGGACATTGCAGACTGGGGCCCATAATGGGATCTAATTACTTTCATATCACTTTTCTTGACATCAATGGGATAGTAGCATTAGGCCCGGTACGTGTCATCTTTCTAAGTATTCCTTCTTCGTGATGAAGTGTGTGTCCAAGGATTCTAGGCAATATCAAATATGTCTTTTGAAACAGAAATTACGGAGGCACTTTTTCAGAAATAAACACAGAAAAAAGTTAACTAGGTCATCATGGTAGTTTCTAAGATAGTCTTACCTTGACTGTTTTCATAATAAATCTGCTCACTGGCCTGGAAAACACATGAAAGGGGCATTAGACAGACAGCCACTGTTTGCTACCCCAAATCCAATATATTGGGCAGTGGGCTCTGGTGTTGGGTATGCAGCCATGGCCCAGACTTGATTCATCATGTAATCCACCCACACTTCACACAGATATCAATGGATCACCTTCATCTAAAGTTACCTTGACATTTAACCAATATGCTTGTGAACATGGATTGATGTCTTACTTCTCATAGACTAGGACTTGTTCTCTTCAAGATCGAAGTCATTGAATTTCTGTCTCAATCACTGAAGCAACATGTAGCAAAGGTGACCGTGGGAAAGGGGAGCACTTGTGTGTGGCTTGACTCCTGTCCGCCAAGCATTAGCCAACAAACCTTCCACCAGTGTCAGGGAAGGAGCAAGGAAATCACCCCAGTTCTTTTGGATAGCGTTATCAGCGTATAAGTTTATGGGAAAATTTTCTTACTCTCTTGCCTTTGGGTGTCATTCAGTTCCCTCAATGCCTGTGCCTCATCATCAGCCATCCTTAGGTTGACGTTTCCGTGTCATACTTTATGTTTGGAGTTGAAAACTGTTATAAAATTACCCTTTGAAATCCTTCATGCATGTAAGTATCTCCTCCTGGCAGGACCTTCTGGAGTTCCTCAAGGCCTTGACGAATCTGTTCTCTGAAATCCAAAGACACCCGATTAGTCATATTAGAGCTTTTTTTTTTTATTGTGCTGTGTACATGCACATTAGTCTTTTCCTTATCTCTGTGGATGGTCTATACTGCCCCAATGGTCCCCCAAAAGCCTGTCAGGGGGAAAATTTTTGCAGTACATCCCCCATGCAGGGCCAGCCATTCAGCCATAGCATAGGATGAGTGAGACTTTAAAGCCCTTTCTTCAGGAATCTCCATCTGCTCATGAAAGTCTTCCATTTCTTTTTTAAATTATTATTAAACTAGGAGCCCATTGCAGGAAGGTTCCTGCAAAGCAATCACCCATCCTGCCTGCCACCTCTGCCACTGTCGCCATTGTGGCCGCCTACCACTGCTGCTGCCTGCCCCACCCCTCCCTGCCCGGCCTCCACTTTCCCTTGCTTTCCGCTTTTCTTCCCTCTTCCTTCTATGCTGTCTTCACTCCTCCCTCCCTCAGTGTATGCAAATTAACTGCCATCTTTGTTGGGTTAATTTGTATACTCACTGATTGGCTGTGGGCATAGTGAAGGTATGGTCAATTAGCATTTTTCATTTACCCTATTTATGCATTTACTGGTTGGTTCCTCAATGTGTCCTGACTGGGGATCAAACCTGCAACCTTGGCTATGGGGACAACACTCTACCAAACTGAGCTACCCAGGAAGGGCTTCCATTCCTTTAACAGGACAAAGTTTTCATTCTACACTGGAAATGAGCCTTATAATGCAACTGCTCCTGAGGAGACACACAGCAACTTCAGCACCTTTATGTCAAGATGCAAATGGCTCTTGTGAACCAGAAAGAGGTGAGTACCAAGAAACCAGGGCACGGCCACCACAAGGACCACTGGTGGGAGGGGCACACATCCTGTGTGAACTCTGCCACCCTCGGAGTTGTGCCAAAGGAAACCGTGTAGTCAGCTTTGAAAACAAAAGTCTAGGCAACCTATGCTTTCCAGGACAACAGAGAGTGTTTTCTGTGGCTGATGCCTGTGTTTTCTTACTCTGGTTGCTTGAGGTGGCCCTGGGCGGGAAGAGGAAGTGGGTTATGGCATTAGGAAAGAGTCTAACTGAGAGTGGGAAACATGAATGGTCTGGGGACCAAATGGAATCTTTGTGGACCATCTCTCTGAGATGTAAGATATGTTCCTGTCTTTTAAATAGCCCCACACTGTAATGAAAGGGCAAGAAAGTGTAATCTCTGAAAAAACATTAGCCTTATTCATAAACTGTAAGCCTATGGGAAGTTTGAAATTACCTTCTCTCATTGGGGTCTCTTTAGTGACAGAGGGTGGGGGTGCACTATTTACATGAGGAAGGGAAGCTTCTTTTGAGTAGGCAAAGAATCCAACATTTATTAGGCACCTACTATGTATAAGTCCTACTCAAAGATTTGTCTTCATCCTCACACTAACCATGCAAAGTGGGTAATATTGACCACATATAATAGATGAGATAATTTGGGTTTACAGAATAGGTAGAAGATCAGTGACTTGAATTCAAATCTGTGTGACTTAAAAAGGCGTTCTGTTCTGCCAAGCAGCCTGCTAGCACACAGCAGTGCTGGAGAAGTGGGAAGTTTTCAGTAACACTCGAATTAGTGAAGAGCAATAGCAATATCTAACACCATCTGAGTACTTAAAGTGTGCTAAACCCTGTTCGAAATACACCACGCACAATAATTCACTGATGCTTTATAAAATATAACTCTTTTAAGTAATAACAGTTATTTCCATTTCACACAGAAGGAAACTGAGTCACAGGGAGGCTAACTGTCCCCAAACCCTGTAAGCACTAAATGACATAGGATTAGAACTTAGAGACCCTGTTCTCAATAACGATGATAACTATCTCTCTTTTGGATGAAGAATGACATTTATTGCTAGTCTATGCTGGCAATTGCTTGGGAGAAAGTCCAATGCAAAATTAACCTTTTGTTAAAACTGATATAATGGCATAGCCATGGATGAAGCTGGATTTGCAGGCTGTTGGAGGGTTTACAAGACAAAATGAAAAGGGGTTCACCTGAGCTCACCCCTGGCCTAGGTTACTGATGTTTTGCAGGTGGAATAGTGGAGTCCAGGTAACTCAGACTCTGGGAAATGTACTGACTATTGTTTCATTGTCTCACCAGTGTCCAGATATCAGACCACATGCTCAGTCATACAAGTCAAAACTGGAACCCTTCCTTGACCCTTTTCTTGGCTCTCCTCTCTCTTTACGCTACCCTACTGAATCTGTCATCAAATTCTGTTAGTTCTACTCTATATCTTCCATGTCTACTACAGTTCCTGGAACATTCTAGATATTCAACAAATATTTACTGAAGAGGTGAGAGGAGGGAACATATGTCTCCATTTTAATCATCCTGTGAAGAGGTCAACTTTGGGGGTAGGGATCAGCTTCACTTGGCATGGGAGGAAGGCCAGGCAGGAACTGACCTGAGAATGGACTTGAGGTACGTGCCCATGTGGTGGTTATAAACCATCTTCTATGTTGTACTCCTATACATTATCCCCCCAAAAGGCATAGTTTAATTTCAACCCTATTGTTTAGTAATGAAGAAAGGCCTATCTCTGTGGTTTGGAATAAAGGGTAAAGATGAGAGCAGAGTCCTCCACCAAGGCCACTATTGGGAGGACAGAGGAAGGCCCTGGCCGCCATCCGGCAGAAAGCAGCTTTGTCCTTAAAGGTTGGCAATTTCATGAGGGTAATGGCAAGGACCAGGTAGTATGAGGGTGACGCAGGGATAGGAAAATCAGAGTTTGCTCCTGAGCACACAGACATGGTATCATGGAACCTTCAGAATCACTGGGGGACTCTATGGGGGGAGAGGGAGCTAGTTTCTCACACTTACGAGGTAGGAGATTGGACATTAAAGGTAAATGTGAAAAAAAAAGTATTGTGGTCTTACTCTTTGGTCATGGACTAGTGAGACCTGGGCTATATTGGTAACACTAAAATTGGAATAGTGTGTTAAGACCGAAGCTTGAAAGAGAGATTAAAAAAGGCACATTAGGGGAGTGGAAAAGGTTCCTTGGCTTCACTGTATTCTTTCCCTGCCAAATAAAGTCTGGGAACTGGGGTGTTTCCTTTAAGCCTATTTCCTTTTCTTTACAAGTATTTTCTTGAGCTTTCTATATTTTTGGTACCAGAACAAGCAAAGGCTGGTTTTGGAAACTGTCCTTATTCTTGATGCTTTGTGTCTGGCAAAGTATAATTCACTATCCCAAGCAGTGATCACAACCTCCCAGATACCACCCTTACGTCTCCAAAGACCAAATGACTTATGCCCCACCTCCCTGCCCTCTGCCCTTTTTCTAAGCACCCACGACATCGAAGCAAATGAAACAGATGTTTTCATGGGAATGGTGGGTCCATTTAAATTCTGGGACAATAAAACTATTATTAAAGGCCCTTTTTTTTTAATGCTCTCTTAGAAATGAAAGAAATTGGGAGAGAGATCTGTTAAAGGGGAACGATAAGAACCTCTCTGAAGACTTGGTTATTACCAAATGAAATGTTATCTTCTTGGGAAATGAGAGAGGCCGGGAATCTAGGAAGACAGGCTGCTATTAAGAGTCTCCTGTTTTCCTTGGTGGTTTCACATGTCTGCCAGGGTTCTTACTTAGAAGTAAGGGTTCTCAGGCCACATGTCTTGTGTTCCTTTTGCAACCCCTGCAGCATGTAAGTATGGGCTTAGAATAGACTGTATGTTTTTGAATGAATGATCCCGGTTTGGGCACATTCATGAATCCATTCATTCATTTCCACAACTATTTATTGATCATGCATCATACACACAGTATTAGTCTGGTTTGTAGGAATGGGGGGGGGGGTGGAAAAGTGGGATGGTGTCTGCTGGACTTTTTGTTGGCCTGTGAAGTTTTTCTGCACTTCATTAAGATTACTTTTTGGGATTCCAGCTGTCTAGCAACACTTTCATATTTGCTGATGAAAGGACAAACACACATAAGCACATCAAGAAGCACTTCAATAATCATTTATCCCAAGTATTCCAGTGATTCTCCTACTGCAGAATCCTCCTTGGGGTTATGCAATGTCCACTACATTTTCAGCCTCTCCCCCCCCCCCCCCAATAACCCAACATCAGCTTTGCCTTGTTGACTTCTTGCACCCCATGAAAGAGCTCCTGTGGAGTTCAACTTCCCTCAAATGCCCTACAGTTGTTGCCTTTGCAGCCTCAATTTATACAGTAAACACACCACACTGCTTATTACCACTAATGCTGCATTCGCATTTCCAGATGGCCCAGGACTCTAGTGTTGACTCCCCAAAACATGAATTGAACCAAACAAAAACGTAGATTGATTAAAGTCATGCTGCTGCTACTTTTGGAGTCATGAAATTCCACAACTGACCGAAGTCATATGTTTATAATGTATGTAAATCAGCCTCCTTAGGCTTTTCCCTAAGAATAGGCCAACGTGATTAGTGCACAAAGTTATATATTGAATCATAGCTCCCCATGCCCGGAGACTCCCCCAAGTCCTATCGTGCTGCAAGACCCAAAGTCCAGTCCCCGCCCACCTGTGCACACCTCACCATGCACACAGCACCGCCCACCCGTGAGTGCCTCACCGTGCACACAGCCTCCTGGTGACCAGTCTTTGGTCATTAGGGGATTTGAACCACTGGGTTATTATAAAATAGATATACTGTTTATATATTCTCACCTGAAAATATGTTTGTATCCTCACCTGAGAATATGTTTATTAATTTTAGAAAGAGGGGAAAAGAGAGAGAGTGAAACATTGATGTGGGAGAGAAATATTGAGCAGTTGCCTCCCATAAGTGCCCCAACCAGTGGTTGAACCTCAAACCTCGGTATGTGCCACGACTGGAAATCAACCTCGCAACTTTTTGGTGTATGGGATGATGCTCCAACCAACTCAGCCACCCGTCCAGGTCTCTCTATATTTTTAAGTGAGGTATAAGTTACATATAGTAACATGCAAAGATATTT